GCCACTCTTGCTGTGTGCTTAGGGTCATTGTCCTGTTGGAAGGTGAACCTTCTGCCCAGTCTGAGGTTCTGAATGCTCTGGACTGGGTTTTCATTAAGGCTATCTCTATATTTTGGTGCACTGAGCTTTTCTTCTACTCTGAGGTGTCCCCTCAGTTCCTGCAGCTGAAAAACAGCCCCACAGCATGAGGCTGCTACCAGCACACTTTACTTTTGGGATGGTACTCTGCAAGTGATGAACGGAGCTGGTTTCCTTCAAACATGATGCTTAGAATTGAGGTTCATCAGACCAGAGACTCTTGTTTCTCAGAGTCTGAGAGTCCTTTAGGTGATTTATGCAAAATCCAAGTGTGTTTTCATGTGTCTTAACTGAAGAAAGGATTGAGTTTGGCCACACCGCCATAAAGACTGGATTGGTGGAGTGTTGCAGCGATGTTTGTCCTTCTGTAGATTTCTCCTGTCTCCACATATGATCATGGAGCTCAACTAGAGTGACCATCAGGTTCTTGGACACCACACCAACCAAAGCCCTTCTCCATCAGTTGCTCAGTTTGGCCAGGAGGCCAGCTCTAGGAAGAGTCCTGGTTGTTTCAAACGTCTTCCATTAAGGGTAACAGAGACTACATGCTTCTGTGACCCTTCAATGAAGCAGAATTTTTTTCTGAACTCTTCCCCAGATGTGTGGCTTGACGCAAACCTGTTTCTGAGCTCTACAGGCAGTTCTTTTGACCTCAGGGCTTGGTTTTTGCTCTGATATGCATTATCAGCTGTTAGACCTTTTATTAAGATGTGTGTGCCTTTCCAAATCATACCCATTCAATTGAATTTGCCACAGGTTAACTTCTCTTGAAGTGTAGTAATATCTACAAGCAAAATGAATGCTCCTGAGCTAAATTTCAACTGTCCCAGATACTTATGCAATGGAATAATTTTAGTTTTTTATTTGTAATAAATTTGCAAAGATGTTAAAAACCAGTATTTTTTTGCTTGACAATTATGGTGAAAAAAACTAATTTAAAGCAGTTTATCATAAGGCAGCAACAAAACAAAATGTGAAAAAATGAAGGGGTATGAATACATTCGCAAGGCACTGTATATATGTATATATTTTAAAGCTTGAAAGCTCCAGTACAGACATGCCATTTTTGGTGACCAAAATATTGTGAACAGACAAAAAATAAATCAATGTTCTCACCCTGATTTCACAAGACACTCGTTAACTTTCAGCACATCCCGCAATCGAATACTGCGCAATGGTTCCTTATCCTAAACAGATGGAGTACTGGTTTACATATCTGTTCATTATATAAAGTATTTGCATTGTTTTAAAGAGTTTACCATACCAGCATCTCACCATTTCAGATTTATAGTAGCTCACAGTTTGGTCATCTAGAATAAAAAACCTCCTCTTCCAGCTTTTCCTCTGAAAACATTTAATTGTGATGACAACATGTTTTAAACACGTTTTTATAGCAGTGTTCCTAGTTTTGCAGTGCCCAGATTTTACATTGGGCATCAATTGCCAATCCAATTACATATTATACGAAATTATATTTATCAGAAATCATGTAATACAACTAAGAACTGCATAAGCCCAACAATATGCAAAATTAAAAGGAATAGTTTGCCCAGAAATAAATATTGGCTGTAAATGTACTCACCATCAGGCCATCCAAGAAGTAGATGATTTTGTTTCTTCACCTGAACAGATTACTAACAAACTTTTTTTTTACATCATTAATTGATGGACTGGAGTTGTGTGGATTACTGTGATGTTTTTATCAGCTGTTTGGACTCTCATTCTGACGGCACCCATTCACTGCAGAGGATCCATTGGTGATCAAGTGACGTAATGCTAAATTTCTCCAAATCTGTTCCGATGAAGAAACAAACTCACCTACATCTTGGATGGCCTGAGGATGAGTACATTTTTAGCAATTTCTCATTTTTGGGTGAACTATTATTTAACAACTACATCCACAGCATATTACCTGCTAAAGCTGATTATACTCAGCTCACAAGAAACTGGTCTTACCACATTTCCTTGCTTGACACAGTAGCCAGACCTCACGACATTTGGACGCACACTCTGGCATCTCCTTAAAGTGACGTGTGATCCTAGTTCACTCGTGAAGACGTCCTCATTATCGCTCTGAGGAAAGCACAACAGATTCATATTCATTTGATCCTAAATTAAAAAGATGAATAAAGAACACATACAAATCTGTCACCTGCTGGACTGGCGTGTGCACAACCACACCTCCCACAATTTCTGTTTTATACGCCTGTCGAGATGTTGACTGACTTGGGTTTGAAACATTTGTGGCATCAGAGCTTTGGGCCACTGGTGATGCTTTTGGAACCTTAAAAAGATATGTACTGATTAATATACAGTATATGCATAAAGTTTCATTAGTTTATTCAAATACAACTGGCCAAACTAAACTAAAAAGTACAGACTTTGCATTAATCAAAGTATAATCTCATCTTTCATCTCCTAACTAAGAATGCTTATTTTTGGATTAAGTCCAGGTCTATCATTTTTATTAGCGTATGGATGAAATATGACAAAGAAAACCCCAAAAATAACAACAGTATGTATGCAAAAAGCTCCACATACCGTAATTTTGGTGGCATTATTCAGAGCAATGACCCATTCCTTCGAGTCCATAGCATCATTGGCCTGCAGAAAGTACCGTCTGGACAATGCATTTATTACTGGAAGACAAATAAATAAATAAATAATTAATAGCAAGTTATTGATACTGTGAAAAACAACAATAGCAACAACATACCCACTTTATGTACTTACCAAAGCAGAATTCTGCTTTTGGTTTCTGCTTTACTGATGCTTCATTAACCTACAAACAAAGTTCAATCAAATTTTCTTATTTAAAATATTGCATTTCTTTTTATATTATGGTAGAATGAGATACCTTTGAAATGTAACTGAGTCGCAAACTTCCAACAGACACTGTTCCCGGAGGTAAGTTCTGTTTTTTTTAAGGAAACAGGTAAAAATAGTTATGCAAAAATACAGGATTAAAATTTTTTGAATGCAAAGTTGAGGTTTTGAGTGTAGGTAAATAAGAAAATCCTCTGTAAAGCTATACTGCAACTTCTGTTTAAAGCTACTGGAATGCACTTGCAAACAAAGAGCAGTACCTGTGGATTGTCCATATACCATAGGAGAAAATTCTCATGAGTATCCAAGATAAAATAACGCCGGTAAAACTTATCACTGTTCTCCTTTTCCTCAATATCCAGGAATCCACAGGTCCGATTTTGTCTGTCCAATCCAGGGTTCCCACACCTTATGAAAAATGAATTAATTACTTTTCCAGTAACTCGTGATTAGATAATAACTCAAATGTATTTTTATAGAGGCTACACTTACAGAGTCATTTCTAGCAGATAAAAAATAGTAGAGCTGAGCACAGCTTAGCTTGAAAAATCAATGACTATAAAAGTTTAAAATAAAAGTTTCAATAAGCGTGGGAATCCTGTAAATCCAGCATAAGTGGTACAAAATGGTCCATGACAGGTGGATTCAGGTGTGGTTCACCTGGACCAGGTTTTCATGAACTCCCATGGAAATATGTATTACGGGGTATGAGAGGAAGTCGGTATTGCGCATAACTGCCACACCTAATATCAACTTACTTCACTTCCAAAATCCCAAAGGCTCGTGACTCATCCGCGTTCTGCTGCGTGTGTGCTGTTCTGTTCTGCGCGCTCTCCGAATACAATCCACGCTCGTTTATCCGCCAAAACAGATGAAAGCTCCGCGCGGAAAGACGAGCCCTGTGCCCCGAGCGCAGCCTCTTTCCGGGTTGACAGCAAGTTGAGTTAAAACCAAAACTAAACGCATCCGTTAGTGGATCTTTATATTTTTTTCACATGCGGAAAACGGAACTCAGCAGACGCCGTGTCAAACGACGCAGTGGGCGAGGGTTTGACAAGAGCGTGCGAATCAAGTTGGTTTTATACACGTACTTCCACTTTTAAAACGACATTTAAGCATCTTTCAGTAATTATAAAGTTAGATTACAGTTTGGTCAGACCGCGAATCATCTGACTGGTATCCATAGCAACAGTTCGCCGCTCCATCACTTTCCAAAGTATGAAAAGCGTTAATATATCATTGTAAAAATGCAAAATTCGTTTAAAACAGTCAACCCCTCTTACAGATTGTGAAAAAGTATTTGATATACCCCTTACGAAAAAGAAGTTTATTCAAGTGTGCTATTAGTATACTTCTTTTAAACTAAAAATAGGAAAGTATACTTTTAGTCTACTTTTTATGTACTTCTCAGAAATGGGCTTTATGTACTTCTCAGAAATATACTTAAAATGACATTTAAGTATACTTGACTTATACTTAAGCTATAATTGTGCTCCTAGAATCCGTGTTTTCATTGTTATATTGTAGAGGGCGCTAGTACACATATTCTGTACAGAATTTCCAAAAAACACAAGTGAAGAAGAAACCGAAACAACAGATGCTTCCACATGTAATCTAACACGATCATCAGACATAAAACAGCATCAAAACTGTGTAACATTATGGAATAAAATGTCGACCAATGAAGAGGTAATACTGACTGTCAAGCTTTGGGGTGTTGATCGACTTTATCTACGTTTTGATTATCATTCTGAATCCAATTCATAGTCTTTTTTCAGCTTTTTGTTCAAAATGTTGTTTATTTCTTTCTTTTTTATTTATGAAACTTATCCACATTCAAGTGTTTAAAAAAAGAATGCATGAAGCTAGAATAAAATGTTTTTGTTTACAAGCAGATACCCTCTTTTGATGTTTTGTATGTTCAGATATTCATGTAACAAAATATATACAAATTAATACCTAAATAGGGACATAGTAGTATACTTAAAGTATGATGTAAAGTTCACTTAAAGAAAACTTGCGAGTATACTTGCAGTATAAAACTACTAAACTAGTAGTTTACTGAGACTATACTTCAAAGTGTACTAAAAATGCTACTACAAGTATTTCATTAGTAAACTATCAGTATACCTATAAGTTCACTTTTAGTATAGTTGCAGTACAAACTAAACATTTTGATGTAAACTAGTTGTGTACTCAAAGTTTACTACTGTTATACTTAAAGTATACTTAAAAGTATACTTTTATATACTAGAAAGTGGGCCAATTTAGTCCCAAGGAGTATTGAAATAGTACACTTACAAGTATACTACTAGTACACTGATATTTGTATACTTACTACATAAAGTATACTTAAAAATATACTTGAACTTTACTTAAGTATACTTACTAAAATAAACTGGAAGTATACTAGTTTTTGGTAAGGGACACACTACCAGTCACAACTATATTTTGAATTGTGAAAAGGTAAAATATGCACAACTTGCATTTTATAACAAGATGCATAAATCTCAAATAAAATAGCCTGCCACAATCTTTTTTCGGAGGTTGTCTTTGTCAATTAGTTTAACAAAATATTTAATAAGATCCTTCCTGTGTTAAATAAACATGCCTCTAGTCGTATTTTTAAAATACCCCATAACATTCAAAGGAAAATGAAAAACTGACTAAACAAAAAACACCAGACAAAACTGAAATCTTATACCTGTTCTTCAGATTTAACAGTTGTTAAATTTGGCAGGTTTGTACTTGCTTTTTTAATTGCTTTGCCTTTGGCACAGCAATAATTAGCTGGTAACTGGACCAGGTCTTTCAGGGAATGAAAACAGTGTGCTAAGCCAAAATATTAATTTAAATGAGTCAAGGTTACTATTCCTTAATCGCAAACTTTTTGTGTGCAATGTTAATGCATTAGATCTGGGGGCGAAATATATTGGATAGAAACAGGTCTAATTAAAAATAATATTTTAAATTAAAACACAAACCAGAATCTGTAAGGAACTAGCTAACCTTGACTTTTTCCCCTCAGGTGATTCCTTTTTTTTTTTTTTTTTACCTTATCAACTCAGAATATATCAAACAAGTTTGGAATACATTTAGACTCTTAGAAAGGAGAACTACCAGACCAACAAATGAACACAAAATGGGTGATCACAACCTGTAATTATAATGATAACAAATGATGAGCTATCATCTGTATGTTAAATCTTTTCAGAGCAGAGCAGACACAAAAGTCTAGTATGCTGATCAAACAGAAGTCATAGGCACATCTGTTAGTAGCTAAACACATACTATAATCAAAGTTTGTTCCAACATTTTTAACTGTTACATATACTGTATGTATTGTGAAAAACACTATACAAATAAATATTGCTTGATTTTTTTCTAGGTCTACATCTTAACACCCACAATGGATAAAAAAAATATGCTGTATATATAAATTATAATATATTACGTTTTAAATAGACGAAGCTAAATAATGATAACCATAACAAATCAGCTCATTTATTAGAGTTTCAGTCAAATTTAATCTATAAAAAACAATGTCAGGTTAAACTAAAACATTTTCATGACCTACATTTGTACATTTTCATTGTATTATAAATTGTAAGCACTTATGAGTAACAAAGATATATGCTTTAACATTTACGATAAACAATAAATTATTTCTATGAACAATGGTGTACTTACCAATGGTAAGATATTGGATTTTGAAAAAATAAAATAAAAATAACATTTATGACACAGAACAAGTATCATTTAAAAGAATCCGTGAGAATGTGTAAATGTTCATTGTTAAAATTCCATTTGTTCCAAAAGATTCAGTTGGTGTGTCTGCAACACACAAAAGAAAAAAAAAAGGTTAAAATGAATCACAACATATTCTCATATTCATTCTCATATTGCCTAAATCTGGACATGTTATGCATTCTTCACCTAAAAAAACAAATACATCAATCAATAAATAAATAAATAATAATAAAATAATAATAATAATTACAGTAAGCATTATTTCATGCTGATAAATTTATAAAATAAATAATAATTGTTAAAAGTAATTTAACATTTTTAATTTAAAGAGGTCATATGATGCGACTTCAAGTTTTCCTTTCTCTTTGGAGTGTTACAAGCGAAAAAGGTCTTCAGCTGTGAGGTTTTTCGTACAACTATTAAGTGCAAGATAAACAGTGAAAGTAGAGTGAAATAACCTAAGATATCAGTAGCACGATAAGCCAGTTGTCATATTTTATATAGTGGGACAGATAATGTATAGGAAATTAAACTTGTGATACGATAATGCCATATTCTCAATTTTACCACACTGAATTCAGACGAGACGCCCCAGATGTACTTCCCCAGTTGATTGATTAGGAATTGCAAACATGTTTTTGTATTACAAGTTTTCTGAAATGTTATGTTTAAATATACAAATGAGGCTTTATCTAATTAAATATGTGCTAAATTGTATACATTTCTAGAACAAAAATCTGAACATTGGATGAAGCCAGATTCAAAAATCTTGTTTCATTCTGTTGACATATTAGAGTCAAAGGTTTTTACAGAGGGGATTTTGGATATCTCTTTTTATCACTCCATAAATCAGAAAATACTGTCAACAGACAGAAAACAAATACATTTTCACAATTTTTTAGGAATAAAATGTTGTATAAAATCAGGCAAATTATATATGAACAAACCCTCTGTAAAAACCTTCAGAATACAGATTGGAATAAAACCATAAGTTTGGTGTATTTTAAATGCTGCTGAAGTGGACATTTTTGCCACAGTGCAGAAAAAAAAAATCTCACTTTGAGAAAACACCCATTAAAGGTATGTATTGTAATCTACAGATGTAAATAGATAAAGTGCTCTAAAAGAAACACTTAAAAGTGTATTTTGGATGTTTTCTTTCAACTAGTCTGAAAAAACTACTTTATGAAAAGCCAAAAAGCCCAAAAGCTCAAAATTGACTGATGCATGAAGAAAGATGCATGTTTTTGCCTGTAGTGTCTCGCCTTCATAACTTTCAGACCAAACCTACAACCTGGTCAAGAGCTAAAGATCAGTCTGTCTGATTATGCTCTCATTCATTTATTATATACACTGCTGCATCAAATATCACAACAGTTCATTTATAAACACACCAAGCCAGCATTATTACATACACGTGTGATGCATTTTTTGACTTTGCATGCATGTACCTATTGTAGGAGACTCCCAAAACAATATTAGGAACCTTAAAAATGGCATAATAGGGGCACTTTAAAACTTGACTTGGACTCCACCTCAGAGACTTGAGACTTGACTTGAACTTTAGGGACTTGTCTGAGCAGAATATAGGTTAACTGTATGATTTGATAATTTTTGCAGTGCAATTTCAATCAAAGCTTGCTCATCTGGTGGGTGTGAAGTAGTGGTCGACCAATATGGGTTTTTGACAGCCGATACCGATACCGATATCTTGGAAAGCAGGATGGCTGATGGCCGATATAAAGCCGAT